GGTTTCACGCTCATTGACAGGAACTGCAGCGATTCTCTCGCACAGCTCAGCTCGATTGACCTTCTTCCTACCACATGCGCTCTTCCTTGACTTGACCACGGCTGCTACTCGACCTCCCATCGAATTGATTCCACGCCTCCAAATTCGTTCGACAACTTGGCGGCCCACACGGAAGTACGCTGCAACCCGAACGATCTCTCCATGTTTGAGCACTCCTCCCACGCTGCGAAGCAGTAAGGACTCCCAGACGGCCTGGCGCTCACTGTCTGTGATCTCCCCCAGGTGCCAGCTTTTAAAATGAAAGCTGGGAGCGGGAGCCAGTCTGGTCGGGAAAGCGCGGGAGATTCGAAATCCAAAAAGTGATCGGCATAGAGGGGGTATTTTGTTGGGTAGGCTGTAATATAATTTGAAATGGTTATCTTTTTCAGAGCGGATTGTGGCAGCACCACCGCAATATTGGATCGTTTGCACTTATCGTATGCTTCGATTTAAGTACGATTCGAATGGCTGGCCATCGCTTCGGCTTTGTGTCTGTTCATCGCGCCAATCCATCGCTGAATAATAGCTGTTGCCCGCGAGACCAATATGGCCAAGGCGTCCAAAGTCGTCCGCGTGGGCCAAGATGCGCCGCACCAGGTAAGAAACTGTCTTGCTATCGCTGTGCCGTCATGCTTCGTCATCGCATCTGACCTTTTAAATTGCCAACCAAGCCTGATGTGGAGAGCGAGAGCAGCTACAGCTTCGTGGAGCAGTCCAAGCGCCAGGTGAAGGTCAAAATTCAGAGCCTGACGGACGACGAGATTGTGTTTGACCTCATTGGTGTGGACGCTGCCATCGCCAACGCATTGCGCCGCATTTTGCTGGCTGAGGTTCCCACTATGGCCATTGAGCACGTATACATCTGGAACAACTCGTCAATTATTCAGGATGAGGTGCTAGCCCATCGACTAGGCCTCATTCCGCTCAATGTGGACCCGCGTGAGTTTCAGGCCTTCCCGGACAACGAAGAGGCGGAGGCCACTGACGAGAACACAATCGTTTTCAAGCTCGACGTCACATGCAAGTTTGACCCTGAACACCCGAAAGACCCAACCAAGGCCATTCACTCTTCTGGTACGCTTGTTTTTGCTGTTGCGATCTACCGATTAACGCACTAACACTATTTTCTTTGCGTTCTTTTTTGCAGTGTACTCGCGTGACCTAGAATGGGTACCACAGGGAAACCAGGAGGAGCGATTCGGCTCCATTCGCCCCGTACACGAAGACATTCTGATGGCAAAGCTGCGGCCTGGTCAGAGCATCGCATTGGAAGCCCACTGCCGCAAGGGCGTGGGTAAGGACCACGCTAAGTTCTCTCCCGTCGCGACAGCATCATACCGTTTGATGCCCAAGGTGGAGCTTATGGAGAAGGTAGAGGGCACTGACGCAAAACGCCTCGTGGAGGAGTGCCAAATCGGCCTGTTCGATATTGAAGATATTGGCGGTGTCCCTACTGCTGTGGTGAAGGACCAGCGCGCCTGCACTATGTGCCGGAACTGTATTCGTGAGCCTAGCTGGAACGAGAAGATTCGTCTGGGGCGTCAGAGCGACCACTTTATCTTTAGCGTCGAATCTGTAGGAATGATTAAGCCCGAGGAGTTGCTGCTGGAAGCCCTCAATGTGCTTGCTGAAAAATGCAACGTCGCGTTAGAGTCGTTCACACAGGTGGATGAAGACGAGGAAATGGGCGATGAAGAGGAGGAGGAAGAGGACCAGGAAGAGTAGACCGATCATAGAAGATTGCTTGGAGCCGATTGAATATATGCAAAAAAACCACAACCACTTGTTTCCTCCCATGGTTAAACTTACGAGCCGGAAGCCTATTGTCTTATTACAAGTATGCGTTGTCCTAAGCATCTATTTAGTGTCATCGTCTGTGTTGTAGGTGCTTCTTGCTTTTGTCTGCGCTCAGTGAGGAGGCGACA